GTAATTCTACCTCGGAATGGGTAAAGGTGGAAAGTGGTGTCCCACAGGGTTCTGTCTTAGGCCCAGTACTCTTCCTGATTTATGTTAATGACTGCATCAGCGAAATGAATTGCGAGGCTGTCATGTTCGCGGATGACATAAAAATATCGAGTGAAGTCAAGTGTAATGATGACGCTGAGAAGTTGCAGTCGAACATCAACAAACTGCGTGCTTGGTCGAACAGATGGTTTTTGAAGTTTAACGTGTCCAAATGCGTGGTTTTGCACCTGAACACCGGCCGCAATGCCTTTCCCAAACACCAGTACTATATTGACGGGACGAGGCTAGAAACTGTGGAAAGACACAGAGATCTGGGTGTATGGACGACTAAAAATCTATCGCCATCAGAACACTGCAGAAAGATGGTCCAGAAGGCAACTAGTACTCTACCCTGGATCAGACGTGCATTTAAAATATTTCCTCCCGAACATTTCGAAAGACTCTTTGGTGTCTTTGTAAGACCTCATCTAGAGTATGGAATGCCAGCAGCCTCACCATGGATGAGGAAGGATATCAACTTACTCGAACAGGTGCAACGCAGAACGACAAAGATGGTCGACGGTCTGAAACAATTGTCTTATCAGGAGAGGCTGACTTTCCTTGGCCTATTCCCTCTCTCTTATAGACAAATAAACAGCAGTCTACTCTGGACCTTCCGGATTGTTCGCGGCCAGGGTTGCTCATTAAGAGCAGAGGACTTCTTTGAGTTCGCCCGTACAAACCAACTACGCGGCCATGCATCCAAAGTCGGGAATGAGCGCACGCGTTTAGACCGACGAAAATTTTCATCCAGCCAGCGGGTTGTCAGACCGTGGAACTCGCTTCCAAGCGAGATGGTGACGGCTGACACAGTTTGTGTGTTTAAAAGAAAACTTGCTCGTCTAGTTTTCGACAGAAATCGGCTTGTACAGCATGACTATGCACAGCCAGTTTTGTAAAATCTGTCATATACAATATTCCGCACTAATTTACAGAGACCCCATGCACTACCTTATGAAAATGATTGAACTGTGACCCAATCACATTTTAAATGCCTGCAATTTTATTTTATTTTTGAGTATGAATCTGCGAAAGCACTGTACATAAATAGGGTCATCAAGGGCTCTGACTGTAACCCTTCAATATACATACATACATACATACAAAAGGCTGCTAAAGTTTAATCTAGAGAAGTGCGTCGCGCTGCGACTCAAAGCGACTGGAAGTTCTGACGGAGAGGATCACCATTACCAACTTGGTGGAAAGTGCCTTTCAAATAAAACCGAACAAAAAGATCTTGGGATTAACATTCTGTCGACCCTTAAGCCTTCATCTCAGTGTGTTAGGGCGTCCAAAAGAGTAACTAGTGTTCTCTTTGCCATTAAACGATCTTTCTTGGACATAGACAAAGAGTTATTTGGAAAAGTATACGGAGCGTTCATTCGCTCGCATCTGGAATATGGAATCCAAGCGGTGCGCCCGTGGCTAAAAAAGACTATAAGTTGCTAGAAAGTGTTCAGAGGAGAACAACAAAATTGTAAAAGGCCTCAGGACTTCACCTTACAACTGCCGACTTAGGGAACTTAAATATTTTCCTCTTGAGTACAGGCAGGTTCGAGGAGATCTCATACAGGCCTATCGGATATTGAGGAACCGGGGATGTGCCCTAAACCCCGACGAATTCTTCACCCTGGCCACAACAACAAACCTGCGTGGGAACTCTCTAAAACTTAGAGGATCCTGATGCCGCCTGGATGTTCGAAGATTCTGTTTATCACAGCGAGTCGTCGGAGCCTGGAATGGGCTTCCCGAGGACGTAATAATGGCGGATACCACGGAGACGTTCAAGCAAAGACTCGATGTATATTTGCTTGGACAATACCGCTTGTCTAGACAAAACAGCTCTGTGGAGAAAAAAAACAACGACTTGAATACACATACCGCTAATAAGTATGACTGCAATTGCGTTTTACCGATATCATCTACAACTGAATGTGTCTGAGTTTCGGTACTGCATTTTCAATTAAAATATTCTGCTAAGTGTATATATTACTGAAAACATATTAGTACTGTGTTTACATAAAGTAACATATTGCATGTCCCGTTTAAAATAGGGTTTTCAAAGGCATTGGCTATGACCCGTAAAATATACTGGACTAAATGACAATGGCTGTAAAAGTGGCTGTGCGGGTAGAGTGTGCTTGAACCTAGAAAGAAGCAGGCGGTGGATGCGCTGGATTATCACAGAGGCAAGATAAGAACACGACAAGAAATAATAGTAAATCACACTCCAGAGGAATGCCAGGCATAGAAGAAGCAAATTGGAATAATCCTTTTCTAGAAGTTGTATTAGTAGTGGCAGCGGTAAAAATTGCAGTAATAGTGGTAGTACTCGTAGTTTTGGTAGATACCTGCAACATCATCTAAAATACCTACACATCCCAAGAACTGCTCCACACCAAACAATGTACATATCATTCTTTAAATTTTGACTATAACTACTACTACTACTACTACTACTACTACTACTACTACTACTAATACTACAACTAATCATAATACTACTACTACTAATACTAATACTACCACTAATCATACTACTACTACTACTACTACTACTACTAATACTACCACTAATCATACTACTACTACTACTAATATTAACTCTAATACTACATCTACTACTACTGCTACTTCTACTACTCCAAATACAACTATTGCTACTATAACTCCTCCACCAGTTTATGTCTCTTCTTCTTTACCCCTGAATCTCCTAATTCGCCGAGAGCAACAATTACACCATGTCACCCAACGAGGCGCTACAGGGCGGCTTCATGTAAGTCACTCATTACTTGTCGTGAGATGCCCTGCTTGCTTCTTCACATGGTTGGCGATGGTGTCAGGCATGTGGGCATGTGGAGAGTATGCATGCCAACTCAATGCAGACTAGTGTGCTTCTAGTGTTACTGCGGCTGCCACAAGCAGTCAGTCATATTTCACGGAGGCTAGTGTTGACTTCACGAATTGCTGTCTGGATAAATGCCAATGCGTGTAAAAGTGGCTGGGCGGGTTGTGTGTGTTTGCGTCTAGAATGAAGCAGGCGGTGGATGCGCTGGATTAACACAGAGGCAAGATGAGAACACGACAAGAGTTATTAGTAATGCACACTCCAGAGGAATGCCTGGCATAGAAGAAGCTAACTGGAATAATCCCATTCAAGCAGTTGTATTAGTAGTGGCAGCGGTAACACCTGCATAATAGTGGTCGTATTAGTAGTTGTAGTAGATATAGTTTTAGTAATATTAGTAATATCATTAATTTTACTTGTATATTTTCTAGTTTAGTTTGATATATTAGATGTCGAATTGACTTAGTAGTAGTGGAATTGATTAGTTTGATTTATTTGTAATGGTAGTAGTAGAAGTGGTGGTAGTAGTAGTAGTAGTAGTAGTAGTAGTAGTAGTAGTAGTAGTAGTAGTAGTAGTAGTAGTAGAAGTAGTAGTAGTAGTATTAGTAGTAGTTGTAGTATTGATTATGGTCTTAGCATTTGTAATAGTAGGTATTATGTGTGAGTGGCTTAATACAGGACGCATGTCTCATTAGCCATGGCGAGCATAGTCCTCTTCCCCGATCCTCGCAATGTCTGAGGGCTGCAATATATGCAGCTGAGGGGCATTGTATGCTAGTAGCTTGCTCCATGATGCAGTTGTCTACAAATGCATCCCGCTGAATGAGACAGCAGCTTCCGTACTCAGTACAGACAGTGGTTCACCAGGATGATTGGTGAAGAGGTTGTGGCCGGCATTGCCCGGATGAAATGAAGCACTGTAGATGGACGCCACTGAATTGAAGTAAGTAGAAGATGAGGGGCATAAGGAAGTGTTAGAAGGAGACATGCTGGAGGTGGTGAGGATGCGACAGAAGATGGAGAAGGGGATGTGAGTGAGGATGAGGATTGGATTGTTGTGATAGGGATGAAGTGGTGAATGATGATTATTGAATGGGAATATAAGCAGGGGCAATGTGTGGTGTGGTGGGTAGGGCCTGAGGCGTTTGCAAATGTTATGTTTCATCAGGCTTGGGGTGTTGATCAATACCCTGACACGAGGTCGGGCATTGCCTTTCTATTCCGGCTTGTTGAATCCTCCCACGGTCTATAATGGGTTTTGGTCGAGTGCATGGTTTTAGCTCAGGGGGGAGATATCTCGCACCGCTGGGCACGTCATTACGACAATCCAAATATGCATTTGATCATTATTTATAAACGTAAAATGCATGTACCTGTCCATTTCTTCTTTCCATTCTTTGAAATAGACCTTGTGCTTTAACGACGGTGTCTTCATGTGTCGATTCCCATTTTCTGCTTTGCTTTGCCCTTTCACCGTAAGGCAACCTTGTGTATGTGTATATGTCTTTACTTCTGTTTATGTTTTTTTCGCATCGGTGATATTATTTCGACTGCTTCCGTTGTACTTTGTCGACTGTTGTATTTTTGCATTTCTTTTCGACCTATGAAGACGAATTTGGTTATCTCCAATAAATAAACAAACCTTTTTATAAATCGCCCATCGGAAATATAGTATTTGGGCAGAAATTGCGTTCAGTACTGCCATTTTTACGATGTCTGCGTCACAGTTTTGCCGGCTGTTCCTTGAAGGCCGTGTCTATGAGGAACGCATTCAACTTTAATTGACACTCCTTACCAATTACTATGTCGCCGCTTATTCAAATGAACGTTTGCTCAGATGCCGCGGGGTATTGCAGTGCTGTGTCGCGCATTTCAACGTTGAAAATCAGGGCCATGCTAACAAGGAATTGCGCATGGCAAGCAAAGAATATAACACCGGAGGTCTT